TATTGGGAAATCAAAAGTGTTTACCTCACAAAGATATACTCATCTTCTGTAAAAGTGTGTGTGTGTGCCCATAGAAAATATCAGGAAGGGTACATATCAACCTGTTAACAGGTTTAAAATGTGAAATGGGATTATATGAGGGTGATATACCTTTATTTTTAGGTATCTTTATGGATATCTTTACTTTTTACTTATAACATTTTTATTCGTTTATATTACTCTGGTCATTTAAATTTAAAAGGGCTCGGGATCCCTGGGTGGCGCAGCGGTTTGGCGCCTGCCTTTGGCCCAGGGCGCGATCCTGGAGACCCAGGATCGAATCCCACGTTGGGCTCCCGGTGCATGGAGCCTGCTTCTCCCTCTGCCTGTGTCTCTGCCTCTCTCTCTCTCTCTCTCTGTGACTATCATAAATAAAATAAAAAAAAATAAAAAAAAATAAATAAATTTAAAAGGGCTGTTTCAATCTTAAAATGAGCTCCTCAGAAATGAAATCAGGATTTTTTAAAAAGTCAGAGAAGCATATGTTGATAGATCCCATTCCAAGCCCTGGCCCTTAGTACAGTTACTGAGGTGCCACTGGCAGGTTTGTCCCCACTGGGAATTTGGAGGCACAAGGCTACCAGAGCCTGATGTCATCAAATATTTAAACCATCCAACTGCCTCCCCTTACACTCTCAAAGCAGCCTTTACATCATAAATTGGCTTCCTGTGCACATTTTCCTACAAGGGAAGAATTTGCTGGACATGGCAATGTGAGAATTCTGGCTCCCTTGGCAGTTCCATTTCTCATTGTGTATTAATTCATCGGTTCTTTGGCTCAGATAAGCAGGATTGGAGCTGAGTTTGTACAATCTACTTTCCAACCCTCCAACACATAGGTTCTTTCTTAGTGCTGTTAAAGTCAAGTTTATGATCCTAGACCATGATTAATTCACTAAGGTAAGTGTCACCTCCAAGGCCACTTGGCAGCTGGCCAAAGAGCCTGCCCTGGTGACACTCCTGTCTCTTCAAACACATTGCTTTCAGGCTCTTGTGCTTTCTAGCCACATTCATCTCAACAGACTGTCTCCTTCTTTATCCCTCATTATGTCTTTTCCTCTATGACTGTCTCCCTAATTCTCTCCTCTCTCTCTCTCTCTCCTCCTATTTCACCACCTAACCTTCTTTTATCCTTTCCTTTTTTTTCTTTCTGTTTTTCACCTTAATTAGCCATGAAGTTGAATAATAAAATATACCAGAACTATGTGCCAAGTGCCATGTGCTGGGCTGTACGTACATATAAATTATATTCTGACCTCACAACTCTGAAATGTTTTCATTCTTATTTCACAGAGGAGAAAGCAGAGGATCATAAAATCTAAATATTGCATTTGATAATGAAACGTTTTTGCTGCTTACTTTTCAAAGTCAATAAATTAAATGTTTTATATTTCCTTTATCTTAGAAAAATACAATTCAAGCGTTTGTATATGAGCTTCATTTTTGCCTGTGAGTTTATTATCCTGGAAAATAATTGACCTTGGGTGTGTTTATTTTTTCTTGAGCTGGGGAGTAGCAGGTAGAATGGAAGAGGAAAGAGACAAATTGGAAATATCACTTTGAGCAGTCGGGCTCACCTGTGCTCTTTGCTTCCTTCTTGTTCTCTTTGCTGAGGATGGGGTTTGGTCCTGATTTGTCTGAAGCAATCCTAGTCTTCTACATGGAGGAGATCACCTTCTCTGTGCAGTCAGGTCAAATGTACTTTCTGGATCTGTGCAAAAGGAAGAGATCAAAATTTCAGCCCCTAAATTTGTAATCTTCAGTAACTTGGAGATAGAGGTTGCAGTGAAGTTGGACCTGCTCCCTGGAAGACCACTTCTAATTATTTGGACATTGAATTAAGCTGCTCAGCTCCATGTTCTCCCCATCATTCTGCAGATAGTGAGGTAGAAATAGAGAGAAGGATCCTTTCTAAACTACCTCATATGGGGTTTGGGAGGAGCAGAAGAGAAAACAGGAGTTTCCAGATGGGTTCCCAGCTGCTCCATTCCTACTCCATGGAGTAAGCTGCTTGTCTTCTGGAAGGTCAAATCGCTGGATCTAGGTTATAGGCTGGAGGAACAGGCAGCGAGTCCTGGGCTGAGAATTGGATCCAGAGAGTGGAGAGGTCCCAGGTCCGGTTGAAAATGGAGGGTCCAGGCTTTGACAGGTTCAGCAGCATGGACAACAAGTTTTAAAAGACCGAAGCAGGCCTGTGGGGTTCACAGCTCAGCACCAAGCCAGAAATCTACCCTCACCCCACTCCGGTGCTGGTTTTTCCTGGAAAAGATTGAACCTGGCCATTGGTTGACTGGTCCTCAGCACTTAAAGTTCATAGGAAACCATGGCTGAGTTTCCTTCTGAAGCCCTTTTGAATATGTTCACTTAGATGTCTATTCCTCAGTCACTTGGTGGAGTGGAGTCCCCCTTGGAGTAGCTCTTAAGGTCTTGCTGGTTTGCATACATCCTCATACACTGAGGCTTCTCTGTTCTGTATATATATATATATATATATATATATATATATATATATATGAATCCTTCAGAGGAAGAAAGAAAAGGATTGTTCCAATTTCCCCCCTCTTCTTTCCAATTCTTCTTTTCCCCATTGCTAGGTTCTCTATCTGGCAATTTCCCCAAGGCCCAAGGAGCTTGCACGAATGTGTAGTGGGAGAGGGTGGAATCGGACTCCTGACAGCCTGGGGCTTGTTGGTGCGTCCTCTCTCGGGCTTTCCCCAGATAGTTTCCCCCATCTGCTTGCCTCCCGAATGATCCTTTCGAGGTTCAGAGGGAGTCTGCATTTTGTGTCACCACACAGGTCGAAACCTCTGGATTGAAGTCCCTGGAGCTCAGGTGAGAAGCCATGACTGGTGCCTGAAGGCTGCATAGGAGGTGGGACCCGGTTTTGAAGAGAAGGGTAGGGTAGTGGAGTGAGAACTCATTTTGAAATGAAAGGAGTCCTGGATCTCTAAGCAGCTTCTAAAAATACCAACTCCCAACGCTGGGGGTGGGGGTGGGGGAGGGGAAAACCAAGCGTGAGAAGAATGAAGATGGAACGAGGTGCGGATATAGGAGCCCTTCTTCAGGTAGATCTGATTTCAAAGGCCCCGCCTGCATCGAAGAACCTGCGAGAGGCCACAGCTCCTTATGCTTCCTCAGTGGGCTTCAGTCTCCTGCGGTGTCGGAGCCCCAGCGTCCCCCTGGTGACCTTTCTTTCTACGGCAAAGGAGGCCAACTCCTCCCAGCCACTCCTCCTATTGCTGCTGTCCAGCAAGTATGTCTGTGAGCGAGCAAGTGTGCGTGTACACATCCTAGACGCTCGTGCGCGCGCGCGCGCGCGCCACTCACACACACACACAAATGACACATGAAAGCGGCTTGTAAGTGACCAGCATTCTACGATGCCACGAATTTTCATTATTCTTGGTGCCCAAGGAGGTCCGGACTGTGGCAGACACAGATTCGCCCAATATTTTCATGCATACTTTTTTAAAGATTTTATTTATTTATTCATGAGAGACACAGAGAGGCAGAGACACAGGCAGAGGGAGAAGCAGGCTCCATGCAGGGAGCCCGACGTGAGACTTGATCCTTGGACTCCAGGATCACGCCCTGGGCTGAAGGCGGGCGCTACACCCCGAGCCACCCAGGCTGCCCTCGCCCAGTATTTTTCAGCACAGAGCATGGCACTAGGGAGCGTTGGTTCGAAGGGTAAGGAGCACAAAGCTACAAAACGCACAGTCAAGCCACGCAGGTCATGGAGACACAGGACTCACTCGTTTTCAAAGGTTCTCCAGCTACTTTCGCTGCCAAAAGCAGAGGGGTCGGGTCCCCCAAGGAAGGATCTGAAAAGCTACAGGGTGGGTGGAGCCTTCTCTGCTCGAGTTCAGCCCAGATGGTGGCGCTCAATAGCCGCCTCCCTGGTCCTGGAGGGCTTCAGCCCATCCCACCACCAACGCCTTAAACCCTCAGCTTGCACGTAAATGACCTTCACGAGATAGAGGTCGTGCTCCTCGTTTCCTTGCAGCTTCTCCAGCGCTGGCTTCTCCGCCTCCGTCGCGGGCGCCTGGGCGTCCGGGCCGCTGAGCTCCTCACCAGTCCCCCGGGATAGGCGGAGAGGGGTGATCAAAAGCGGGGGGCGGGGGGACTCCAGGCTCTGGGCAGACTGGGGAGGAGGTAGTCGGTCCGAGCGCTGCCTGCATCCTGGCAGCAAGAGCAAGAACCTAGGGAGCCAATCGTTCACGCCACGTCTACCAGCAAGCGCATCCTGGCGTCCACATGGTTTCCCAACCGCCCAGGCGCAGCTGGCAGGGTGGGATTCCGTCTCCCACTTTGCTCCTCTTTCCCGCGTAGCTCCCGGGGTCGGCTTAGCCCGTTCCTCCAGCGTGGGCGGGGGGTGGGTAGGGCGGGGAGAGCAGGGGCGGGATCCAGCCGGGAGACCCCGGGAGCCGCGGACGCAGGGAGAAGCCAAGAGCTGGGAGCTGGAGGAGCTCCCCAGACCGTGGGGTCAGGACGCGAGGCTCCGCCGCCCCTTGCGAGTCCTGGGAGCGGGGAGCTTCCAGGCTGGCTCCGGGCTGCAGGTGCCACCGCCTCCCCGGCCCTCCCCGAGCTTCACGCGCTCCTTAACCACGCCCACACTGTCTACTTCTCGGGAGCCCGAGGCCAGGCGTCGGCGCTCCTGGCCCTCGCCGCGGGCGCATCCTCCTCCCGGGAGCCAGGCCCTCGCTCGGCGCTGCCCCACCCCCACGCTGGGGGATCGGCGGGACCCCTTCCTTCCCCCCGCGCCTCCGCCTCGCTGCCCCGCCCCCGGCCTCCGAAACTCCACCCCTTTCCCTCTGCTGGCGGGGATTGGTGGACCTCCCGCGGCGGCGCCCGGCGATTGGTCCGCGCGGATGACCGTAACCAGCGAGATCCCGCCCCCGGCAGGCGCCCGGGTCTGGGGGCGCAGCTCCGCGGCGCTGGGGCTGGCGCGGCTCGAGCCGCCGCCGCACTGACAGCTCGGGCTGCGGACCATGGAGACCGGCGCCGGCGCGCGGCCGCTGCGCCTGCTCGGCTGCCTGATGCCTCTCTGTCTGGCGTTGCTTTTGGGACCGGGGAGGCCCGGGACGGCCGAGGAAGGTGAGGACGCGGGTGGCTGTTCTTGGAGCTTGGATGCCGGATGATAAGGGGCTGAGAACTGGGGCTCGAGGGAAGGAGTCGGAGAGAGAGACTGGAGTCCGCATTGGGGTTTGAAGCAAGCGGGCAGCGAAGAGCTCAAGAGAGAGAAAAAGGTAGCGGAGCAAAGGAAAAGGGGGGGGGCATTGGGGAGATGGGGCTGGAGCCCCGGGGGCTGGGGAAGCAGCAGCCCGGGAGCCGGGGGAGCCAGAGGCGGCGGTGCAGGGGCCGGAGAGGCGGACCGGCTGAGCGGCTGCAGGTGGGGGGCGTGGGGGCGGGGGTGAGCGCGGGGGAGCCCGAGCCGTGCAGGTGAGGTCGGAGTGAGGGCCGAGCGGAGGGAGCGCGGCGCGGGCGGGGGCGCGGCGGGGGGCGCGGCGGGGCCGGGAGCTGTCCGCAGTGCTGACTCCGGAGCGCTGCCCGCGTCCGGCCTCCGGTCGTGGATTTGGGGGAGCTGCACACTCAGCCGAATCCAGAGGCGTCACTTCCAAGTGCAGAACCCCGAGGAGCCGGGATCTCAGGCGCTGATTGGGGGGGGGGCGGGGGGCGGGGGGCGGATCTCTGATGCTCTCCAATATGCAATTCCGATGTGCTATCAGTTATACCCCAATCGGGAAGCTGTCGGCCGATGCCTCTGGAGCCAAGCCTCTTAGAGACCCTCACCTTGGAGCCCCACCCCCCTCCTTGAAGGCTCCAGCTTTGTAATCTTCCAAGACTTCAGGATAGCCTGGGCTGCTGTCTCTGATCTGCAGCTGGGCCGTCCAGACAGGGGCTGCTTTGGGACCCAATACTGACAGCAGAGGAGGGAAGAGATTTTTATTTCACCTGCTGCTGTGCTGGCAGAGTCTCTCCACTCATTTGCCCCGGCCCCTGGGAGTCGAACTAAAGAGGTTCAAGTCTCTTCCAATCCTGGTGACTTCATTTTTTTTTAAAGATTTTATTTATTTATTCATGGGAGACACACACACACAGAGGCAGAGACAGAGGCAGTGGGAGAAGCAGGCTCCATGAAGGGAGCCCGATGCGGGACTCGATCCTGGGTCTCCAGGATCACGCCCCGAGCCAAAGGCAGGGCTAAACTGCTAAGCCACCCAGGGATCCCCTCCCTGGTGACTTCAGACCTCAGAAGAGCCCCTGGGTATGAACGAATTCAGGATGTATGCAGAAATCCTGTAATACGCTCACGTTTTCCCCTCTTTTTGACGCTCAGTTATAATTTAGGGAGCCTGGGAAAGCAGGAGGGGGACTCACTGACACCACTACCCCCCCCATCTTAGGGCCAATCTTAGAGTGCTTCCATGAATTCGGTGGCAGGCTGAATAATGACTCCCCAAATATGTCCACATCCTAATCCCCAGAACCTGTGAATGTTATTCTAAATGGCAAAAGACTTTGCAGATGTGGGTAGGGATCCTGAGACAGAGATGATCCTGGGTTATTTGGATAGTCCCGATGTAATCACAACAGTCCCTATAAGAGGGATGCAGGAAGAGTCAGAGCCAGAGGAGAAGGCAACTTGATCACAGAAGGAGATTGGAGAGAAGCACCTTGATGGTGGAGGAGGGGGCTGCAAGCCAAGGAGTCTAGGTGGTTTCTAGAAGCTGAAAAATTCTAGTGGAAATAGCTTCTCCCCTCTGACACCCCGACTTTAGATCAGTGAAACTGATTTCCAACCTCTTGACCTCCAAACTGCAAGCTACTGTTATTTGAAGCCACTGACTGTATGATAATGTGTTATAGCAGCTACAAGAAACTACTACAGGCTCCTTCCCTTATTCTTGTGGCTGCTTCCCTCTGGACTTGAGCTACTTTGTGCCACACCCCCTCATGGGAAGGTATGGAGTGGGAATAAGTTGCCTCTGTCCCCTCAGCAAACTTGCACTAAACTCACACAGGGGTCCCTCCCACCTTCCTAACCTTCTGGCTTTCTGACATCTCTGTCCCTCCTTTCCCTAGTCGTCCTCCTGGATTCCAAAGCCTCCCAGGCTGAGCTGGGCTGGACTGCACTGCCAAGTAACGGGGTAAGTGTAGCCTTTCCCGCTCTGTCCCAGGAATCTTCTGGGGTCTGGGATCCAGATCCTTCGGCTTCTTGTGGTTACAGCAGAACAAAATGCTCCCCAGGGCACGTGGTCTGCAGCAGCACTGGCTTCAAGCCAGGGTGGCCTATAAGAAAATGTTGAGTCTTTAGTCAGTCCCAGAAGAAAAGAAAAGAAAAAGATAGCTAGGGGAACCTGGCTGTGTCTAGCAACAGAAACATGTCATCTAGGTGAGCCAACGCTGGGCAGTGCCTTGCAGGTAGTAGATCCTCCAAGCAGTGTTGACTGATGGATTGATAGAACGAGCAATATTTAAAATCCTAAAAGAGGCTTGAAAACTAGGAGTGGGGGTGGGGAGATGTGGCTACGTGACTGCAGCCCGGTCCCTGAGTGGGCACCTGGTTGAGAGCCAGGAGACTTCAGGCACCATTCCCAGCTCTGCTGCTACCTCAACGTTCATATCCAGTCAAACCTCTCTCTCTCTCTCTGGAGCCTCAGTTTCCCCAGCTATAAAATTAAGGATTGGACTCGGTTGTCTCCAACGTTCCTCCCAGCTCTGCATCTTATAATTTCAGGGGCGGAGGCTGGGGGGAGGGAGCATGCCAGGTGATGGGGAAGGGGCTTTTCGGCTTTAGTCACCTCCAGGGCCCGGCCTCCTGGGGGCGCCTTGGCTCTGAGTTTCCCACATCTTTGTTCTCCTCCCCAGTGGGAGGAGATCAGCGGCGTGGACGAGCATGACCGTCCCATCCGCACGTATCAGGTGTGCAACGTGCTGGAGCCCAACCAGGACAACTGGTTGCAAACGGGCTGGATCAGCCGCGGCCGCGGGCAGCGCATCTTCGTGGAGCTGCAGTTCACGCTGCGCGACTGCAGCAGCATCCCGGGCGCCGCCGGCACCTGCAAGGAGACTTTCAACGTGTACTACCTGGAGACAGAGGCCGACCTGGGCCGGGGGCGGCCTCGCCCCGGGGCAGCCGGGCCCGCAAGATTGACACAATCGCTGCGGACGAGAGCTTCACGCAGGGCGACCTGGGCGAGCGCAAGATGAAGCTGAACACGGAGGTGCGCGAGGTCGGTCCGCTCAGCCGGCGGGGTTTCCACCTGGCCTTCCAGGACGTGGGCGCGTGCGTGGCGCTGGTCTCGGTGCGCGTCTACTACAAGCAGTGCCGCGCCACGGTGCGGGGCCTGGCGGCGTTCCCAGCCACCGCGGCCGAGAGCGCCTTCTCCACGCTGGTGGAGGTGACGGGAACGTGCGTGGCGCACTCGGAAGGCGAGCCGGGCAGCCCCCCGCGCATGCACTGTGGCGCCGACGGTGAGTGGCTGGTGCCCGTGGGCCGCTGCAGCTGCAGTGCGGGATTCCAGGAACGTGGTGACATCTGTGAAGGTATTGGGCTGGCTGACGCGCGGGGGGGTGGGGGGCGCGGGAGCCTAGCGTGCAGGTGGCAATCGCGGGGGGGGGCGTGGGAGCCTAGCGTGCAGGTGGCAATCGTGAGGGGGGCGTGGGAGCCTAGCGTGCAGGTGGCAATCGTGAGGGGGGCGTGGGAGCCTAGAGTGCAGGTGGCAGTCGCGGGGTCGGGGGGGCGTGGGAGCCTAGCGTGCAGGTGGCAGTCGTGGGGGGGCGTGGGAGCCTAGCGTGCACGTGACAATGGGGGGCGAGTATGCCCTGGACAAAGGAGACAGGAGGGGGAGCGGATGGAGGTGCTGCAGGCGTGGAGCGGGAGTCCTGACCTCCCGCGGGGCTCTGGGGAGGGGGAATCCAGCTGGGACCACTGGGTGAAGTTCCGAGGAGGTGACTGTGTCTCCACCTAAGGGGGCCTTAGGGGCTTGCATTTCGGTCACTGCCATAAGCACCTTACAAAGGATCTCTCATTTATTCTCGGCAATAAAGTCAATCACCTGGATCCCTATTTCACAGGTGAGGAAACTGAGGCTCAGAGACATTAACACCTCACTTGCAAAGTTAGTAAATGGGGAATCAGGGTTTGAATCCGGATTTGCCCAAGTGTCAAGGTCTTTCTATTACACGGTGCCGCCTCCTTAGGCGTGAGGAAGAAGTCTAGAGCAGCCCGCCTCCACAGGCTATGGGCAGGTGGGATTGCTCCCCTTATAAACGGTGGGCGCCCTTTCACTGGCAGTATGCAGGTCAGAGGCTGGCAGGGCGGGTCCTTGAGCTGCAGAGTCCAGAGGTTACACTAGATGACCACTAAGATCCCATCCGACTCTCTGCACCATGAGTCACTGTGTCGCCTGAGAGAGACCCCTTCGTGGGGGGTCTATTGGGGTCTAAGTTCTGTGTGGGCACCGGACCAGACCTCTCCTTCCTCCCACCCCCGATCTGGGGCTCTGAGGACTGAGGGTACAGATGGGACCCTGAATGTAGAAAGACCAAGGGACGCTTCTTCTAAGCTGCATCCTTTTCTAGGTGCCGACAAAAGAAATGAGTCAGGCATAGTCTCAGTCTTCAGAAGCTCTACAGATGAAAAAATGTAAAAACTTAAAAATCACAACAAGGTGATAAATAATCTCACGGAGGGATTAATAGAGTGGTGGGGAGACAGGGGAAATGACTAAACTTACTCTTTCCTTTGTTCAATCATCCATTCAATATGAATTGAGAACTTACCAAATGCATTTAATTTAGGAGGGTTTGTTATTTAGATGATGTCACCGTCTCTTTCCTCAGGGGAACCTGTGGATTAGTAAGGGACTTGGAGGCATGAACCTTCCTGAACCCTCCAAGTAGGGTTAGGATCCACTTCTGCTCTCCAGCACCCATTGCAACCTCTACTTCTTGCTTTTTTTTTTTTTTAACTGAGGTGTAGTTGACTGCAACCTCTATTCCTGCACTCAGCCCATGGCGTGCAGTGATCTACTTAGGAGTGTTTGTGTTTCCAGCACTGGACTAGGAACTGGCCTCAGGCAATGGTTGTATTGGTCTCAGCAACCTCACTGTCCAAAACAGGATACGGTAGGTGCCCAGTGGAAGGGTACTGGCTGATCACACACCATAGAGTGTGATCCCTACCAACAGAGAGTTGAGGAAACCTGGAGAAGGGAGAAGCCAACTTTAAGGGTGGAGAGAGATGATGAGAAGGCCTTTCTTCCAGGCAGCTAAAAGCATCCTTACCTAAGAGGTTGTCTACAGAAACATGGAGGCAGGAGAGAATGTAGCATGATTGGGGCTATAGGAACAGAGGGTATTTGGGGGTGTGAGGAGTGATAGGGCTAGAGAGGGGCAGGTATATACATTGAAAGGCCTTGAACATTAGGATAAAGAGCTTAGACTTTATGCTGTAGACCAGTGTGGAGGATTTGAAGCAGGGATCCGACATGTTCATTTTTTAAAAATTATTTATTTGGGGGAGAAAGAATGAGCATGAGAGAGAGAGCACAAACAGGGGGGCGGGCAGAGGGAGAGAGAGAAGGAGAAGCAGACTCCCCGCTGAGCAGGGAGCCCAATGTGGACTCAATCCCAAGACCCAAGATCATGACTTGAGCCGAAGGCAGACGCTTAACCGACTGAGCCACCCAGGTGCCCAGGGATCTGAAATGTTCAGATATATATTTTCAAAAGATCACTCTAGGATTAAAGGCCAGAACAAGATGCTACAGTAGTCCAGGAGAAAGAGCACAAGGTCCGAAGGAAGGCAGTAGCAAAGATCATTGAGACATGAGGACGGATGTGATAATGAGGCACATACACAGCACTTGGTGACCATGTGACACGGGAGGACAGAAGAGTCTTTTTTGATTTGTATGCTTCTAGAGGACTGAATGGACAGACGATCATTCACTGGGGTAGAGGACACGGGACACTGATGGACACGGAACTGATGGTGCGTTCAAGTGGAGGTAGCTGGAAAGGAAGTCTGGAGCGCAGCAGCAGAGAGACAGGTGCTACTTGAAGCTGTGGGTATGGTTGGGACAGGCCAAGGTGAGGTAAGAAGCAAGAGGGCCAATGATGAGGTCTTGCACAACAGCAGGATTTAAGAGGCTGTAGAAGAATGGAAGCCCATAGAAAAGGTCTTTGAGGCAGAATCAGAGGTTGGAGAAGATCCAGGAGACGGTGATTTGGTGGCAGCCCAGAGATGGAAGGGTCCAGGAGGGAACAGCTTCCAGTGTTGGTGAGCACCCAGGTGGGGCAAGGTGTGGACTGTGCCTGTTTGGTGGCCCTGTCAAAAGCAGTTTCTGTTGAGTAATGAAGAGAGAGAGACAGAGAGACAGAGAGACAGAGAGACAGAGACAGAAGACCAGCTGCGTAGGTTGGGGTGAAGGAAGATGTGGAGCTATGGTCAGGGAATGTCCACAGGTCCTGGAGGCTGGGTTTGGAAGGGGAGAAGAGGACGCTGCGTTGAGAGAGGTTTTGACTGCAAGTAGGAGCCTTGTTTATCTGCTGAGGGAAGGAGCCAGTGGGGTACCAAGTGGGGTGCGGTGAGAGCAGCCTGGCCCGGGGGGTGTATTTTATTACTGACATGGTTTAGCCTTGCTGATGCTTGTTGCTGATAAAGATGAGGCTATGTTTTATTGGTTTTCGATACTCTATAGATAATGCCCTTAGTGTCTACACCCTCACCGGGCCGCTTTTCCTGCCCCACTCCCTTGTTCTGTCCCTGGGAAGAGCTGGTAGAGAAGGAGTGATGTGAGAATGAGGAGCCATATGACTGATGGGACATAGCCTGGGTGGAGGACACGGGGCAGGACCCAGAGTGAAGAGGAGGGGCTGGAGGCCTTCAATGCGAGGTGGCTCATCCCCTCCTCCAGGCCTAGAAGGGAGCAGGAGGGGAAGGTGGGTGTAGATGGAGGTTTGTGGGTTCGATGGGCTGACCTTGAGGGAATTACCAACTGACAGCCTTTCTTCTCCCGGTGAGGTGGGAGGAGGGCATCTGGACCAGCGGTGAGTAGGATCCTGATCTGTCTTACGGACTCCAGCTCCAGAGCACCTGGCTCACAGTAGATGCTAAAAAAATCACTCAGTGAATGGATCAGGGTCGGGGTGGGGTGAGGTGGGATACACATTGTGGGCGATCACGCAATCACACACACACAAGCACACACACACACACACACACACACACACAGGACCCCAGTCCCGCTTCTGATTTAAGCTGAGACTAGACAAAAGCCACTTGTAATGGCAGCGTCATCTCTGCCGTGGGGAGCAGGGAGCCGGGGAGGATGCCAGGGAGGGCTTCAAGAGAACAAGAGAAGGGGCATCAGGCATTATAGGGCAAGACCCAGAGGCCAGAGAGGAAGAGCTTAGCGTGGCTCCGGGGGGGTGGGGACTGGGGAGTAGAGGGGGTAGAACGACCGTGGTCCTCCCTCTTGTTTCTTGTTTCTCTCTTTCGTTTCCGTCTCCCAGGTACATGCAAGACTGGGGGTTTCCCAGGGGGTGGGGTTGGGGAATCAGGGTGTCCAGCGACAAATGTCTTCACATCGCTGTCGCACTGCCCCGGAGCACAGTGACCAGAGCAGGTGTGCTCTCTAAGCTCCACAGGGCACACAGGACCCCCCGCGACAGCCTCAGAAGAAGGTGGGCTCCCCATTTCTGAGCAAAGACTGTGGCCCCTGCTAGGAAAGCCGCTGGAGGACAGGGCCAGCGGAGTTGACCTAGGTTGACCTTTAGGAAGAGAGAGAGGGGTGGGCTCCAGGAGGCTGCCCCTCGACACAAACCTCTTCTTTTTTGTTTTAAATTTTATTTAAATTCAATGAATTGACATATAATGTATTATTGGTTTCGGAGGTAGAGGTCAGTGATCCATCAGGCTTGTATAGCACCCAGGGCTCATCCCGTCACGGGCCCTCCTTAATGCCCGTCCCCTGGGTACCCCATCCCCACCCCCCTCCCTTCCAGCGACCCTCAGTTTGTTTCCCGTGATGAAGAGTCTCTAATGGTTGGTCCTCCCTCTCTGCTTCTGTCTTATTTTTCTCTCTCTCACCCCACGATCCTCTGTTTTGTGTCTTAAATTCCACATATAACTGTCTTTCTCTGATTGACCTCTTTCCCTTAGCGTACATGACACCCTCTAGTTCCAGCCACGTCATTGCAAAGGGCAAGATTTCACTTTTTTTTATTTTTTATTTTTATTTTTTTATGGCTGACTGGTAGTCCATTGTATATATAGAGAGAGACCACATCTTTATCCGTTCATCTGTCGATGGACATCTGGGCTCTTTCATCCCTTGGCTATTGTGGACACTGCTGCTGTGAACACCGGGGTGCAGGTGCCTCTTTGGATCCCTACATTGGTATTTTTGGGGGTAAATCCCCAGTAGTGCAATTGCTGGCTCGTAGGGTAGCTCTATTTTCAACTTTCTGAGGAACCTCCAAACTCTTGTCCAGGGTGGCCGCCCCAGCTTGCATTCCCACCAGCAGTGCACGAGGGCTCCCCTTTCTCCGCGTCCTCGCCCTCACCTGTCCTTTCCTGACTTGTGCATTTTAGCCACTCTGACCGGTGTGAGGTGGCATCTCATTGTGGCTTTGATTTGTACTTCCCGGGCGCCGGGCGATGTGGAGCATCTTTTCATGTGTCTGTTGGCCATTAACACAAACCTCTTCGAAACAGAGCCCATCAAAGTAGAGATAACCGCTGCTGTCTCTGATGGGAAGCACAGCTCTGGGACAGCAGGTGTCACAAACGCCCCGCAGACAGGGAGCCTCTGGTACCTTTTCCCCCTCTGCAGTGAGATCCCTCGAACAGATCTGACTTGGCAACGGAGGTTGGCGGGCCATGGTTATTGTCCCCACTTGACCGATGGCCTCTTGAGGCCAGAGAGGCATAGGGAGCAGCAGAGCTAACACTGGAGCCCAGGCCACCTGAGTCCCTGCTGCCGCCACCAGACCACAACGGCCGTGAGTCCCAGGCTCTGTTCTGAAGGCAGATACTCCCGAGGCCCCCCGGGCTTCAGAGGCCCTGCCCAAAGCTGCCCATCCTCCGCCAGATGGACCCCCGCAGCCCCCCTCGGCCCACTCCTCCGTGTCTGCTCCTGCCGGAGCACAGCCGGCCTTCCAGAAACTGCTAACCTAGAAAGGAGGTCGGGTGGGTGGGGGCAGGGAGCAAGGTGAGGCCACCCCAACTGCCAGAGGAGGGCGGGGAGTCCGCTGCCCCCCTCCTGCCTGGCCCAGCTGGCGAGGATGGTTTTCAAGTGGGTGTTTAGCAGTTTCCACTTCGGGCGTGAGATGGAGGAACGGTAATTACTGCCACTGTTGTGTGCCTGTCGTAAGTGCTGGGCTAAGCGGCTTACACTTTGCTCACTTAATCCCCCAACAACCCTTTTGAGGTGCGAATTCCACACCAGGCTCAGAGAGGTCAACCTCTCTGCCGAGGCCAACTTGGCAACTAAGTGGTAGGGCTCCGCGGCCAACCCAGGTTGACCAGCTGTCAGAGCCTGTGCTCCTGACAACCTGTGCCCTGGGTGAGGCGGGAGATGCAGAGTCCCCTGGAGGGTGTCAGGGTGTCGAGACCGGAACCTCCTTCTTGCCACTCCCCTGCACCCAGCTGGCTCCGCTTCCGAACTGCAGCCGGGTGTGTCAGTTGAGGATGTGTGATGCATGGGGGGGGGGGGGGGATGGGCTCTAACAGCAGTGTGTGCCCGCGCAGCTAGAGAGCCTGGTGTCTGTCCCTGGGGGGCCGGGGGACACCCCCTGGAGGCACCTCTCTTCTGGCCTCACATCAAGACTGGACAGTTTAGCTGATTGTCTCCCAACGGGCATGGGGGCAGCATGGTGTCTGCTCGGGCTGGAACCCCACCGTTTACCGGCGGTGAGACTTTGGGCAAGTCTCCGAGCCTTAATTTCCTCATTTAAGAAATGAGGATAAAGGACATACGTCACAGGCTGTTGTGAGGATTAAGTGAATTACTAGAGTAAAACAGTGTTCTGCACACAGTAGGTGCTTACTGAGGGTCGGTAGTCCTAGGCTGTGGGTTCCCAGCTGCTCCCCACCCCCGCCTGCACAGTTCCAGGACAGGGGGCAGGTAGGGAAGTGGGGGACAGGGCCCCTCTCACGTGGCTCCGCCCCGCAGCCTGTCCCCCAGGCTTCTACAAGCTGTCCTCGCGCCGTCCGCTCTGCTCCCCGTGCCCCGAGCACAGCCGCGCCCTGGAAAACGCCTCCACGTTCTGCGTGTGCCAGGACAGCTACGCGCGCTCGCCCACCGACCCGCCCTCGGCCTCCTGCACCCGTGAGTGCCCCCGACAGGGCGGGGGGCGGGGACCAGCCACCCCATGGAGATGGCGGGGTGGGGTGGAGGGAGGGGAGCCTAGGGTGGGGGTGCGGGCCCCGGGGCCTCGGGGTGGAAGAACCAGGATGGACCAGAGTACCCACGACGGAGGGATGAGGGCAGGTGGCGGAGTGGGTAGTCCCCTCCCGCCGTGTGCCCCCGCCAGGAGGGGGGCTCCTGGTGCTCAGCCCTGCATCCCCAGCCGCCTCCCCAAGCTGCTACCCTCCTCCCACCGCCCTGGGCCCCGCCCTCCCTGTGGTCCCCACAATGCCCCCTCCTGCCCGACCCCCCACTGACGGTACCCTCCCCTCTCCTCCCCCTCCTCCTCCCTTCCCCTCTTTCTCCCCCTCCTCCTCCCTTCCCTCCCCCTCCTCTCCCCTCCCCTCTCCCCTCCCCTCCTCTCCCTCCCCCTCCTCTCCCCCTCCTCCTCCCCCTCTCCTCCCCTCCTCCTCCCCTCTCTCTTCCCCCCTCCTTTCCCTCCCCTCTCTCCTCCCTTCCCCTCCTCCCCTCCTCCCCCTCTCCCCCTCCCCCTCCTCCTCCCCTCCCCTCCCCCCTCTCCCTCCCTCTCTCCCCCTTCCCCCCTCTCCCCCTCCCCCTCCCCCCTCTCCCCTCCCTCCCTCCCCCCTCCTCTCCCCCTCCTCCTCCCCCTCCCCCTCCTCCCTCTCCTCCCCCCCTTCCTCCCCTCCCTCCCCCCTTCTCCTCCCCCTCCTCCCCCTCTCCCCCTCTCCCCCTCCCTCCTCCCCCCTCCTCTCCCCCTCCTCCTCCCCCTCCCCCTCCTCCCTCCTCCTCCCCCCTTCCTCCCCCTCCCCCCTCGTCCCCCTCTCCCCTCCCTCCTCCCCCCTCCTCTCCCCTCTCCCTCCCCCTCCCCTCCTCCCCTCTCCTCCCCCCCTTTCCTCCCCCTCCTCCCCTCCTCCCCCTCTCCCCCTCCCTCCTCCCCCCTCCTCCTCCCCCTCCTCCTCGCCCCTCCGCCTCCTCCCTCTCCTCCCCCCCTTTCCTCCCCCTCCTCCCCCTCCTCCCCCTGTCCCCCTCCCTCCTCCCCCCTCCTCGTCCCCCTCCTCCTCGCCCCTCCCCCTCCTCCCTCTCCTCCCCCCTTTCCTCCCCCTCCTCCCCCTCGTCCCCTTGTCCCCCTCCCTCCTCCCCCCTCCTCGTCCCCCTCATCCTCGCCCCTCCCCTCCCCCTCCTCCCTCTCCTCCCCCCCCCCCCGTCCTCCCCCTCCCCCTCCTCCCCCCCAGGGCCGCCGTCGGCGCCGCGGGACCTGCAGTACAGCCTGAGCCGCTCGCCGCTGGCGCTGAGGCTGCGCTGGCTGCCGCCCGCCGACTCCGGGGGCCGCTCGGACGTCACGTACTCGCTGCTGTGCCTGCGCTGCGGCCGCGAGGGCCCGGGGGGCGCGTGCGAGCCGTGCGGGCCGCGGGTGGCCTTCGTGCCGCGCCAGGCCGGGCTGCGGGAGCGCGCCGCCACGCTGCTCCACCTGCGGCCCGGGGCGCGCTACACCGTGCGGGTGGCGGCGCTCAACGGTGTGTCGGGCCCGGCGGCCGCCGCGGGAGCCACGTACGCGCAGGTCACGGTGTCCACCGGGCCCGGGGGTAAGGCCGCCCGCCCCGCGTCTCTCCGGGAGGCGAGGTGCCCCGCAAACACCCCGGAGCGCGGGGCCCCCGTCCCTCCATCCCCCATCCCCCATCCCTCCATCCCTCCATCCCTCCATCCACCCCCCACGCACCCGGGAGGGACTGAGCACGCGGGGGCCTGGGGCGCCTGGGCCGGAGCGGTCGCGGGGGGTCGGGGGGGCCCTGCGGGGGCCAGCGGGCGCCCCTGCTCCCCAGCCTGCGGGGAGCCCCCTGCCCCGCCCGGCAACCTGTCGCCCGCCCTGTCCAAAAATTTCACCTGGAGGACCAGAATCATCCCTCCTCCTCCCCTGTCCCAGAACACAGGGCTGGGTCCCGCAGCCTCCATCCCCGCCCAGCGGCCACCCTCTTCTCTGGTCCCGGGGAGAGGGCACAGCAGGGTCACAGTGCAGGGACCGCAGAAGGCACTGGTCACATTTCTGAGTCTGGAACAGGGACCCCAGTCCCCGGTTAGCGCTCCACCTTCCCCAGTCCCCACACTCGCTTTCCCCCGGTCTTTCCCCAGCTGGGGGGCACCTTCCTGTGCACGAAGGAGAAGTGAGACGCGTGGTTTCTGGGTCTTTTCATCTCTGAGACCGGGTGGCTCTGTGACTCTACTTCCCTGTCTCCCTGCAGCTGGGTGGCCGAGAGGTCAGAGACCAGAGTGATTTTTATTCTTGTGCAAATAGTGTGCTTGGGCGTGTGTGCTTGTGTGATTCTTTCACCTACTAGTGGAAATAAAATGTAACCAACATCGATCTCTTTTCACTGAGTTTGGCTGGTTCGTAGTAAAACTTTCTGATCTGCACACAGCTTTTATTCCTGGAAAAGAACTTTTTTTTTCTTCCAGTTACTGCTTTGACTAGAATTTCTGATAGCTCCAATATCTTTCGAAGAATCTCTCTAAGCCTGAGGTTGTACATCCATTTTCTGATTCTCGAATCTTGTCACACCTTTTATCATTTTTAGCTCTTAATCCATTTTCTCTGCCTTTTGGGAGAGATTTCCAATTGGTCTGGTTTTCTGGAATAACAGTTTTGTTCTGTTTTTTTTTTTTTTTTTTTTACTATCTCTACTGTGACTTAACATTTGCTATTGCATTTACATTTTTTAAAAATTCAATATAGAAAAAGAAAAAAAGCACCCGTAATCCCGTTTCCCAGAGCTATACAACTATTAATATCTTGGGGGTATATCCTTCCACATTTTTTCCTATCTCTGTATCCATATCTAGAACTATCTACTATAAAAATCCCTTTTGTATAATATATATGGTATGAGATTTTTATCTGGTATTTCATATTAACAGTCCTGTTTTGATATAGATGGATTTAAAAATCATGTTGAGGAGATGCTTTTCTATTTTACTAATAAAAAACTAAGCTTCCACTGATTGAGTGCTGCTCTGTGTTGGGCACGGGCACTGTGCAATATGATTTTCTACATTCATTCATTTTTTTTAATTCTTTTTTTCAGATTTATTTATTTATTCATGAGAGAGAGAGAGAGAGAGAGAGAGAGAGAGAGAGCAGAGACACAGGCAGAGGGAGAAGCCTACATTCATTCATTTTAAATGCAATGATAATCATCTTTCAAATAATGAATTTGAGACCTGAGAGCACAAGCGAATTGTCGAAAGTCACTCAGCTAGTAAGTACGCACCCTATGCTTTCAGCCCTTGGCCATATAATGCTTTCACTTTTTACTCAACTTTAAAAAAAAATTGGGAATGGATGTTAATTTTATAAAATGCCTCTTGGGATCCCTGGGTGGCGCAGCAGTTTGGCGCCTGCCTTTGGCCCAGGGCGCGATCCTGGAGACCCGGGATCGAATCCCACGTCAGGCTCCCGGTGCATGGAGCCTGCTTCTCCCTCTGCCTGTGTCTCTGCCTCTCTCTCTGTGACTATCATAAATAAATAAAAATTTAAAAAAAATTTTAAAAATGCCTCTTAAGCATCTTTCAAGATAAGTGCATGTTTTTTTCTCCTTGGACATATTGGCATGATGAATCCTACTTGTGGATTTTTCAGTGTGAGCTCTTTTTGCATTCCTAGATTATACCCCACTGGATATGAATGTATTATTCTTTTAATATTTTGCTGAATTAATTTGCTTATATTTTAACATTTTTCCCATGTGCATTTACAAAAGAGATTAGTTCTTTCTTTCTTTCTTTCTTTCTTTCTTTCTTTCTTTCTTTCATTGTGTTCTTTGTCAAGTTTTAGCATTCGCCAAGTTTTGCTGGCTTTGGGAAAGGCCTCGGGGAAAAATCTCTTCTTTTTCTCTGCTCTGTAACAGTTTACATAATATAATGATCATTCTTTGAAGGCATGCAAAACCGCTTTTGGGGCCCTGCATCTTCTTTGGGGGAAAGTTTGATGATATTCTTAATCTTGTCCATACTTCTTGAGTCAGTATTGTTAATTTGTGTTTTTGTAGCAAATATTTCAATGATCTTTTTCTTATTCAGTAGCCGAGAAATGTACATTTTAAAACTGTCCTCGGTATCTGCAGTGAACTTTGCTTTTCCTTTCTTCGTGTTATAAGCTTGAGATTTCATTTTAGGTAATTATCCTTGCCGGCAGTTTGTTTTACTGGTTATGACAAAGAATCAGTTCTTGAATCTATCAATTCCAGTGTTTTGTACTTTTTTCATTTATTTTATGGTTTTGCCTTCATTAATATCATTGTCTTGCTTTCCTTTTTTTTTTTTTTAAATTTTTATTTATTTATGATAGTCACAGAGAGAGAGAGAGAGAGGCAGAGACACAGGCAGAAGGAGAAGCAGGCTCCATGCACCGGGAGCCCGACGTGGGATTCGATCCTGGGTCTCCAGGATCGCGCCCTGGGCCAAAGGCAGGCGCCAAACCGCTGCGCCACCCAGGGATCCCTTGTCTTGCTTTCCTGAAGTCTTTTTCTAGGAGAGTTCAGTGCTTAGCCTATGAATTTTCCTCTGAGTATAACTTTGGTCACATCCAATGTGTTTTTACACGCAATATATCGCATCCTTAGTATTGTCACTTTTTTTGGAGCTAGTCATGTACCCTGCAATTTCACATACCTTTTAGAGTGTACAGTTCAGGGCTTTCTCATATAGTCACATGGTTATGCAACCCATAGTATCTAATTCCGGAACATTCTCGTCATCCCCAAAAGAAACCCATTAATAGTTACTCCCCAGCCCTCCCACCCCTCTGGCACCTCTAGTGACTGCTAATCTACTTTCTGTCTCTATAGGTTTGTCTATTCTGGGCATTTCATAAATATAGATTTAGACAATATGTGGACTTTTGTGTCTGCCCTTTTCTGGTTTGTTTAGCATGTTTTCAAGGTTTATCCATGTTGTAATGTGCATCAGTACATCCTCCCCTTATATGGCTGAGCAATATTCCATTGTATACCACAGTTTGTTTATCCGGTCATCAGCATATGGGCAGTTTTTCTACCTTTTGGCTATTATGAATAATGCTGCTATGAATTGCATGTACACGTTTCCGTAGATACATGTTTTCAGTTCTCTTGAGTATATATGTAGGAGTGAAATTGCTAGGTCCTGTGATGTTATAGAGTGAGTTGTGTCTCCTCCAAATTCATAGATTGAAACCCTAATGTGACTGTATTTGGAGATGGGACTGTTAGGGAAGTAAGGTCAATGAGATCGTAAGGATGGGGCCCTAATCCCATAGGACTGGTGTCCTTACAGAAGAGAAAGATACACCAGAGCTCCCTTGCTCTGTGTGTGTGTGTACATGGGAGGATAGCCAAGAGAGGACACAGCAAGAAACGGTTGTCTGCAGGTCAGGGGGAAAACCCTTCCCAGGAGACTATGGATATGAATCTGTAGACCCCTTGATCTGCAAGTTCTAGCTTCTAGACCTGTGCAAAAAAAATTCATTTTTTTGCTTATGCCATGGAGTCTGTAGTGTCTCATTATGGTCGCCTGAGCTGACTAAAACATAGAGTAGCTTTTTTTTTATGTTTTTGGAGTTCAATTTGCCAACATATAGCATATCACCCAGTGCTCATCCCATCAAGCGCCCCCTCAGCGCCCGTCACCTAGTCACCCAAACCCCCCACCCACCTCTCTTTCCACTACCCCTTAGAGAAGCTTTTTATCTTTTTTTTTTTTTTGAGAAACCGACGAACTTTTTGAGGAATTGCCAAACCATTTTCCAAGGCAGCTGCACCATCTGACATTCCCGCCAGCAACGTGCAAGGGTTCCAGTCTCTCAACATCATCACCGAAACTGGTTTTCGTTTTTGTTGGTTACAGCCATCCTAGTGGGTGTGAAGTGGGATCTCACTGTGGCTTGGATTTGCATTTCTTTTTTTATTTATTTGAGAAAGAGTGCACAAGGAGAGGGAGGAGCAGAGGGAGAGGGAGGGGCAGGCTCCACTGAGCAGGGATCCCAATAGGGGGTCTTGATCCCAGGACCCTGAGATCATGACCTGAGCTGAAGGCTGAAGGCCGAAGGCCCAAGGCAGATGCTTAACCTACTGAGCCACCCAGGTGCCCCTAGATTTGCATTTCTTTAATGACTAAGTGATGTTGAACCTCTTTTCATGTACTGGGTTTTCTTTTTTGTCATTGAGTTATGAGTTCTTTTTAAAATATTTATTTTCTGGATATTTGGCCTTTGTATTAGTTTTCTAGGACTGCTGTAACAAAGTACCAAACATTAGATGGCTTAAAGCAAAAGAAATGTATTGTGTCACACTTCTGGAAGCTGGGAACTGAAGTCAGGGTGTCAGCAGGGCCGTGCTCTCTCTGGGTGCTCTAGGGGAGGATCCGTCCTTGCTTCTAGCCTCCGGTGTTTGCTGGCAGTCCTTGCCCTTCCTTGGCATGCAGATCCATCTTCCAGTCACATGGCCTCCCCTCCCTGTGTGTCTTCATACTGTCTCCCCTCTATGAGTGCCCCTCTCTGTGTCCAAATCTCCCCTTTTCAGAAGGACATCATCCTATTGGATTAGGGCCCACTTGA